AGTGAGGGTAGGAGGGATCGGGAGATCGACAGGCGGATTGGTTCGGCGTCTGCAGTGATGCGGACGCTGAGCCGATCTGTCGTGGGGAAGAGGGAGCTGAGCCAGAAAGCCAGGCTCTCGATCTACCGGTCGATCTACGTCCCAATCCTCACCTATGGTCATGAGCTTTGGGTAATGACCGAAAGAACGAGATCGCGGATACAAGCGGCCGAAATGAGTTTCCTCCGTAGGGTGGCCGGGCTCAGCCTTAGAGATAGGGTGAGGAGCTCGGACATTCGGGAGGGATTCGGAGTAGAACCGCTGCTCCTCCGGATCGAAAGGAGCCAGTTGAGGTGGTTTGGGCATCTGGTCAGGATGCCTCCTGGACGCCTCCCCGGGGAGGTGTTTCGGGCATGTCCTGCCGGCAGAAGGCCCCCGGGTCGACCCAGGACACGTTGGAGAGGTTACATCTCCAATCTGGTCCGGGAACGCCTTGGGGTCCTGCCGGAGGAGCTGGTGGACAAGGCCGGGGAGAGGACGGCCTGGAGCTCCCTAGTTGGGATGCTGCCCCCGCGACCCGGACCCGGATAAGCGGAGGAAGACGAACGAAGATGAAGACGAAGACGAAAATGTATTTTACTGAACATAATAGATCATCATTCAAAGCATAAACAGCTACATATTTTCTTCAAGGTAAGCTGGAGCAGAATTCTAGCTTTCAATCAACTCTTTAAAACGGATATTACAACTCGAGTTTAGGGCTTCTTTTAGGACTTAAAGTTATTAAATTAGAGCAGTGTGTTGCATTACTGCATCAAATTTATTGCTATAATACATTATAGTAATGTATGTGGTCTAATAGTGTTCTACAGTGTGTTAGGACCAAGCCCCCACAATGCGGCTCTAAAATTGGTCCCAACCCGGAAGTAAGAGAAATTGCAGTACCACCCTCAACCACTAGGGGCTGCTGTCAGAAGCGAGCAAATCCTCATTGACTCCCATGTTAAAAATACCAATTTCACAGCAAAAATAAACATGTTTACAGCCTGGTACCAGAACATGTTTGTTGTTTAAATGATCTAGTTTACACTCATGACAACTCTGAGGGGGGTGAATTTTTTTCCTCACTCTTCTGTTTAAGTGTATTAAAAGCCTAAAATTCTGTATAATTAATGAGCATCAGACCCACGTGACCACAGAGCTAGCTCCGTGGAAAGGCCTCAGTAGAGTCTCGGTCTGGCCTGGAAACTGTTCCGGCATTTTGAGTCTCTCTGTTTGTGTGTATTCTTGTTTGGATATTATTTGTGCAATTGTTGGACAAAATGACTTGCTGTGGCATTAATTGCACTAATAGAGCATCCAAGGAGTCTCCACTTCATTTATTTCGGTAAGTAAAATTATATTTATGTATTTTAGGTCACTGCCGAGCTGAGCTTAGATTTTAACATGTACTGTTTAACCATGAAATTTAAATGTAATAGGGTAAAACCCAGTGCATTTAACATAATGCTGCACTTTAGAAAATGGGTTGAAATATAACATGTTGGTGGAGCTGGGTTCCCACTATCCGCTTGTGGAGCTCTCGGGAGACCGATGTTTTCCACCCGGAATGCCGGCTGTTTCTCCCCCCAGCCCGGTCCATCTCTGTCTGATCGCGACTTCTGTTAGCTGCGCGGGCTGACGGCTGGTTCTCCCAGCAGCTCGGCGCATCTGTCTGATCGCAACTTCTGTGTGCTGCGGCGGGCTGACGGCTTGTGGAGCTCTGGGATGGAAACCTTTCCACCCGGTTCTCCCCAGCGGCAGCTCTGCCCAGCGGCGCTTGTCTGCTGTGCGGCTGCTGGCTTGTGGAGGTCTCCGAGACCTCTGTGTTCCACCCGGTTTTACCCAGCGGTCAGCCCGGCGTGTCTCTGACTCAGAAGCTCTGGTGTTGTGCACAGTTAACTCCGGTTGTAGCTAGGTTGTTACCTCCTTTAGCTTAGCTCCCTACTCCGCATTGGCTTCACGAAGAAGCAGCGGGAACTACTCTGTTGTTGCTTGTGATCACAAGCAGCAAGGAGGAGGAGGCAGGGCAGGGCAGGGTGGTTACAGCTAGGGATGAGCCGGATACTCATTTCAGACGAGTATCCGGTACGGATAAAGTATTTTTGACGAATACGAGCATGAAACGAGTAAAACTCGTAAATATCTGTAATCGTGCTGAAGGAAAATTATCATTGGGTAACTGACTGCCTTCACGCTCTGTGATTGGCCAGTCATGTAGAGCGCCCGCCCCTCCCTACACACAAAACTCTGCAGCCGGGACCTCAGTCCGTCCGGCCCATCCACGCACACACACAGTAACGGATCTCTCTCTGCTTGCTTCACTGTTGCTGACGTTTCTTCAGTGCCCCCTAGGTTTTCTTCAGCTCGCCTCTTTTTCGCTTGAATATTTTAAAGTTACTTTTTTTGTAACGTACGTGGTGCATTTGACAAGACAGAGCTGAAAACGGCTCATGCATGCGTTGGTCATTGCCTGCGCTCCGGTCTTTTTTTTTTATTTTTATTTTTTATTTTACTCTCTCCCTCTCTCTCACACACACACCTCAATCAACATTGTTTTGTTTAACTCTATGTGGGAAAAATGCCAACAACATTAGGAACATTATTTAATTAGGAAAAAATCAGTTTAATCAAATTAAAATAAAATGGTTCTAGTATTTCATATTTCCTAGTTCCTACTGCATGAGGTCAGATGTATGAATTCATGCACTTGAATAATAATGTTCTGATTTTACTGAAAAACTTGTTCTGTAATAGTTCCTTTACTATTGTGATCAAAATTATTTAATCTCAATTCTGAGGCTGAATGCCAAATCCACCCTGCAAAGTGTGTCACTGAGAGTTTAAAACAGAAATTAGTTTTGCGCAAATATTGGCGTATTCACCTTTAATACTAGTTATTAAGATGCAGCAGTTGGTGGATTGGTGCTGATCAAAGTGGAGTGCATCAAATAAAACAATATTAACATAAAGGTAAGGTTTCCTAGGGGAAACACTGTTTTTACTTAGATAGCCCAAGTCAAATTAATGAATTAGGTTTTACAGGAAACTAACCAACGCCAGCAGCTTGGTTCCACATTTTCTGCACAAGGAAGAGGAAGTTATTGTTTACTCACCTGTTGTATTGCAGTAACTGTGATCACAAAGAAACGCGGGAGCCCACTGGTGACTGGGGAACTTGGGGTGTCTATCATTAACTGGAACAAACATGTAGAAATGCCAGGTGTCAGCAAAATGGGGGAGTAACACGCCCGCCCGCACGCACACACACAGCTATGCTTGTGCAACCCATCATTTACTTTCATTCATTTCAGTGTCTGAAATATGCTTAGACCATACCTTAACCAACGGTGGTGTTACGTATCAAAAGGGTAAATTTTCACCTACACACTGACCACATAATAACCTTTCATCTACAGACATGAACCTATTATCTATCTGGCCTCCAAATCCAGAAAGTTCTGCTCAGTGCTTGTTTGCATACAGGACTAAAAAAATTGTCAAGGTATCCTGCAAAGGTCCTGCAGTCTCTGCATAAAAGCCAGACTGCTGATTCCTCACCCTAAATAAAAATCAAACCTACTTGAAGCTCTTACAGGACTTTACAACTCAGAAGCTTAAATAATCATATGTGTTGAATGAACAAGATGTTTAAATCAAATGTTTGAATAATCTGTGCTTAAATCAATGAATGTAAACTTAATATTGATGTTACAATGATCCATTTCAGATCCCATCTACACCAGATCAGTATGTGTTCGATTTAACAAATTAATCAATATCTACACTCATACACATTACAATAAGATATGTATTAATGGTAATATTTACTTCACATAAGTGTTTTAAAACAGTCTCATTCACAAAGTGTCTACCACCTTTGTAACTGAATTCTGAAGAATGTTTGGTAAAAAATTCATAACGTGTCCAATTCTGATTTGCCAAATTTGCCAAAATTTGTCAACATTGCGGTTTAATTAAACAAGAATTACTTCCCGATTAATTCAGTTTCCAGCTGACTCCTGATTCGGCCAAATCGGGAAAGAAGCCTCTTTTGAAACAATGTCCTTTCACCCCCAGTCAAGGCCTCTCTGCGACGCTGCGAGTGATTACAGATGCAACAGCTCTTTTGAAAGCTACTTCACACCTCAGACATCCAACCTGCAGACCCAGGGTTGAATCTCATGGCCGGTGAAGCTGAACTCAGAGGAAGCCACTAATCTCTGAGTATTGTGGTTTCAACGTCTGGTGACCTCACCACTCGGACTGCACCCCTCCAGACCGCCGGGAGCAACTCATACTAAGGGTATCGTATGCATGCACACTGGAGTCTGATGAGTTTAAATAAACAACTCTAGTTATAAACAAAGTCTTTTACAAACCAGACTTTACAAATTCTCTCAGATACAAAGAATAGTTTTGCTACAACCTCTAGCTTCCATTAAAACATTTCACACATCTCATTATTCATATCTTGCCATGTATAATCATTAGTTTAAGAAAAAATAATTAAATTCATTTTATAAACTATATACCTGACTGAAGTGTGTTTATGGTCCCTAAAGAAGCAAAGAACCCTAGAATGCTCTGATTAAACATTCAAAGATCAATTAGGTTGATATTTCATATTTATATGGATTCATCACATCTTATTGGTCATTTTCAATAAAGTGTAAATTGTAAGTTCACCACAATGGTCTATTCCTAACTTTAACTTCACCTAAAGTAAATTCACACCATACTTGTGAAAGCCACATGTCCATCCATTGCAGCTTAAACGTTAAAAAATGTCTCCAAACTGTAGTACTAAGTACACAGAAGAACAAGGAAGAGGAAGTTATTGTTTACTCACCTGTTGTATTGCAGTAACTGTGATCACAAAGAAACGCGGGAGCCCACTGGTGACTGGGGAACTTGGGGTGTCTATCATTAACTGGAACAAACACATGTAGAAATGCCAGGTGTCAGCAAATTGGTGGAGCAACACACACACACACACACACACACACACACACACACACACACACACACACACACACACACACACACACACACACACACACACACACACACACACACACACACACACACACAGCTATACTTGTAGGGACCCGTCATTGACTTGCATTCATTGCAGTGTCTGAAATATGCCTAACCCATACCCTAACCATTGATGGTGTAGCGTGATGATTTGTCCTGTTTTTGACAAAATTAATGTAAGATAATAAAAAAATGGCAAAAATTGGTGAAAACTCTTAGAACTGTAAGACAGAAATATCTGAGACAAAACCTAAAGCATAACTCTGTGTTGCATTTGTAAAAATACCATAAATGTTAAACTCCTGCACAACAACAAAAACTTATGTCTACCTCCAGCATTTTACATACATTTTAAAATGATTAGTCCTTATTTCCCCAAAAAATATCTTTATTTACAAAAAAAAAAAGGAAAGACAAAAATAAAGAAGGTTTTGGGTTTTCTCTTGCCTCCCCCAACACCAATATCTTTGGCAAAGTTTTACCTGTAAATAAAAAATAAACTCAATTAGCAATGGACTATTGTGTGGAAGATGTAAGGCAGATAATGTTTTACCATCACCGCGAGTCCGTAGGTGTTGTAGACGTTCCTCTGTTGATGGCGCAGGAACTCCGGACAGCAAACCATAACGCCTTGGATCCTCAGGCCTTAGCTTGTAGCGTCGAGGAAGACCTTTCTTGCTTGTCAAACGTTGGTTGACGATCATGGTTTGGATCTCTGGGATGTAGGAGAAGTCTTTTGCCACCTTCTCAGAATACAGTCTCCAGCATCTAGATTTTTTGTTGAATATTTTATGGTATCTGAAATGACACATGCCATAACTTGTAGTATCCAACAAATTAGCTGAAAAGGTGTTTTAAATTAAACAAAAGGAATTACCTTATGTTTATGTAAGGTGTGTAGTCCTCATCACCGCTGTCATCAGTACCGCTGTCCATCTCGATGGTTTCGTCCTCCTCTGAAGACGAATCAACTTCTGGTTCTCGGTTTGGTGACCATTGTTTTTGTGAAGCGCCTCAAGAATTTCACCTTGAGAGGTGCTATATAAAATATAGTTTTACTTTATTATTTCTATACATTTTTTATAGTCATTCATTATCCCATTTCCAGAATTTCTTCAAAATAATCCACCACTAACTTAAAACAAACAGAGGCAAAAATTATAATATTCCTAGTAGAGGTTTTTAGGCAGCTATTTACCTTTCAGATGATTCTCCATGAATGCTAGACAGAGCTGGCACTGGTGTTGGAGAAATACACAGTTGGCGTTTCAATGGTGTTGATGCTGATGCTTCATATTTGGACTGATGACTGTAAAAACAAAGCCCATATTAAAATAAAAAGTAGTGATCACAGGCTAAACAAGTAAAAGAAACACAATATTATGTTATATAGCCATCTCTTAGTTTACACATCTATGTTAGTGTAAGATATAATGAAATGAAGGTCAGAGAAACTACTAAATAATTGACTGTAGCATGAAGAGCATGCAAATCACATTTTATTTTTACATTTTCCTGCTAAGACAAATCTGATTGTAATTGATAAAGTATCTCCTCAGCCAACTGAGGTCAACATGAGCTGCTAATCACTCATTTTAATATGATTTGCTTTTTCAAAACAGGGAGACCTAATAAAATACTTGAATTTGGAACTCGATTATTGCTATGACTGCAGCAGGCTAAATAGTGTGATATCAGGCTAACTGACAGCCAGTGTGACCGTGTTTGGATAGGTTTGTGGTCAGATACGTCTTTTTCCAACAACTAATGTTTCTCCCCAGCCTTCACAGATTTCTGCACGAGCTGATTATCATTCCTTTTATTCTAATATGGAGTAATCACGTAGGTAAGACCACAAACTCAGACGGTAATCTGTACACGTGGCCCACCCAGGTTAGCACAATATGTCTTTCAGTGCTAATGGAAACGTAAGGTTTTGGATACGTTCCTGATCAATCACACCTAATTCTAACTGCTGAATCATCTCCTCAGACTTCTACAAGTGCTACATGAGCTGCTGATTACTCATTTTAATCAAACACGCAGCTCAGGAAAGTGTAAACATCTAATACAGCGTTCAAGATGCTAACTGAACCCCGCTAACGGGGAAGTTATAAACAAGAGCTTAAAACAATATACTGATGTGGCCTGTAGTTAAACGCCACACTAATCATTAGCTCCCATATAAACAAAAAACTAAAATCCCCTTTCGTTACTCAAACTTCTTCCAAATATAGCATAAATAGTTCAACGACTAACATCGATTCATGTCGACTTAGCATTCAAGCTAATGCTACATTAGCCAATAGGACACCAAGCATACAAAGCTTGTTTGCTCTATTACTTGTTTCAGTGAAAGAAATATTGTAAGTAAATTTATCTGAAAAACAATAAATAACTTACCTGTCCAAAAGATACTTTTGCCAACTCTTCATCAGTTTTCATGCCGCGTAGATCACGAAAATCATCATGTAAAACAATCTGCAATTTAAATTCGACTCGACTGTCTTAAACGTCTTACAGCCACTTTTGAAGAAGGGCTTTTAAACTTTTTTAATGTTTTTTGAGATGTGGAAGGCAGTCGAGAAATCGGTAATTTGGGGTTTTGTCGCTCCAGAGCTGTCCTCTAAGCCGAGTGAGGCGCGTGACACTGTTTTGCACGCTGAGATCTAATGCTCGTTCTCGATGACTGACAGGTACCCCTGGTGGTAATGCAGCGCTATTGGTCAATGCGTTAGGCTTGCAGAAATATTGGCTGAGCTCTACAGGGCAGGGGAGGGACTTAGGAGAAAATTTAAATATTAAAGATTATTTACTTTTTTAATAAAACTGGGTCAGATGGTCAAAATTAAACATTTTTAAAGTTATTTCACATTTAAAACTTACGTACCCTGCCTTTAAGGGAGATAACCTCCAAGTGATTGAGAAAGGGGTGGTGCCTGAGGTCTTCACCTCCCAATTTAAACTTGTAAGCTGTTGATTTTTCCAAATTGATCAACAAAAGTTAATAAAAAGAGTTGACACTTCCTCTAAGGTCAGTTCTAGAGAACTGTCCAGTTCGGCCGACTGGGTCAGTAAAGCATAAGGAACCATCCTTCAAGGTCAAACCTTCTTTGCAAAACTGCAAAGCTGCATCAGATGCAAAACTTTACCTGACCGCCAGCATTCACCCTGAGGGTATCCCAGACCAGCGGTTCTATATTCGAGGTGGAACTACGTGGTTCAAATACCACAGAAGTCAACTCCATCAGCAGTCTGTCCGTACCGACTTCTCTGGCCCCTGGGTCGCCGGGAACAAACTGATCTGTTGCTGGTCTTGGTTCAGTTTGCTATGCAGCTTCATTTCCATGCTCCGCTAGGCTCAGTGCTTCGACGTGGGGCTCATTGTGTTCACTACCAAGAATAGAATACTTTTACACAGTGCTCATTCTTGACTGCTTCATCTTTGAGTAAATGTATTGATTCATGTGACAAGCTCACTTCTTCTATGGTTTTCTAATAAACATGTTTTGATAGTGGTGCTGTTGCACCATCTAGTGGCACAAAAACGTATTACACCCAGTTAACTGGGTAAAACTATTTTATCCAATTATGACAATAATGACAATTACCTGTTAACCGGTTAACTGTGTACATCCCTATTTTAAAGACATCAATAACACACAGGACGACTGATGAATGTGCATAGTAAATAGGGCAATGGTTGCAGAAGAGTAACCAGAAGGTTGCAGGTTCGAGCACCGCTCAGTCTGTTGCAGTTGTGTCCATGGGCAAGACTTCACCCACTTTTCCTGATGGTTGTGGGGTGGGGTGATAGAACACTAGAAAGCTTCATTCAATTGCAAATCATTATTTTAAAATTGTTATCAAATAGATGACGTACTTATAATTACTCTCTTGTGTACCACCATACAGAGACAATAGTCATTCATTCATTCATTACCTGTGTCCATGTCGTCCAGAGCAAACGATGAATCAGTCCCAGCTGATGGATGATCCTGAAGTGGTAGCAGGTTTTCTTTAGTCGTGTTTAGCTAACAGCTGCAATAGAAACAAAGCAGGAGAGCTGACTAAGATGCTGCTTCAGAAGAACGCAGGAGATTAAAGATCCAACGCGTTGGTTCTGATCAGCTGAGGACAGATCCAGTCTGGAAAAAATGCCCTTGGGTCGCCAGAGTTCACGGAGTAGAGCTGACCACTTTTTCCTCCAGAGTCACACAGTGTTTGCCTTACATAGGCTCAGCTGCAGTAAGGCTGAAATTGCAGCACCATGACTACACGCCTCACCCCCCCGAAGCACAAGAGCAAAGCTGTCTGACCTGGAGACGGCATTCTACTTTTTTCAGACTCAAAACCATGGTCTTGCATTAAGAAGTTATTTTCATCTAGGGATGTCCCGATACAACTTTTTCACTTCCGATACAATACCGATATTGCAGCCTTCACCGATATCGATACGATATCAGCACAAATCATACATACTTCTAACAATTTTGTATTGTGGAATGTTAAGGCTGCCACAATTAGTCGACGCGCCACAACGACGATGACAAATAAAATAGTCGACGATTAATTTAACAGTCGATGCGTCATTTACTCTATTGTGTTTTTTTACTTTGCCTGCTGCAGCACGTTGGCGGTTTCTTCCTGCCTCTCTGCTCAGCTGCCGCTTGCTTTAGCTCCGAGGCGCATGCGTGGTAGTAGTCATCCAGATTAGCCTCACTAGAGAAAGAAAACATGGTGAGTCTGCAACGTAGCTCAAAAGTCTGGGAACATTATAAAAGGTCAAGGAAAGGCACGTAGACTGCAAAGTCTGCAAAGTGAAACTCTCCTTTCATGGGAGCACAACGGCGATGTACAAGCACCTAAAGAGGAAGCACGTCACGGCGGTGAAGAATGAGTTGCCATGGTAAGTTTACCTCTTGGTAACATCAACAGAACACATATTCATAGATGTAGCAACACTCGTAGCGGTATTACCTTTAGCACACGTTTGTATGTCACATATTTTTGCTGTAATTACAAACGCTAATGATTTATTTCATCCCGCTACGTTACAGTGTTAATAAAAGTGCTCCTCTTCAATGGATGAGTTTGTTACGTGCACACCTCAGCAAGCTAACGTCTTGACCGAGGCCATATCTTTTTTAATATCTTTTATCTTTATGATAAAGTAGACCCTCAGAGCTGTCAATGACCCCCTGACTGCTGATGCGTGGACCAGCATGGGGTGTTCTGCCATTTCATGATTTAAGATTGGAAAATGAAGCTCTTCGACCTTGCCACCATGCCTTGTGTGAACACAAGTCATTTTTGAGTACTGTTTATTTTTTTTGGTTGTAGGTGCCTACCTCCATCTGACCGTAGCAAACAGGTAACAAAGTTAATTAAAAGTTGTTTGATAAGCTATCATCTTCTCTTTATTATTAGAAGCCACAGAGCTGATCACACTTCAAACTAGAAGCTAAGGATGGGTATATTAGAGCATCCTGGTGCAATAAACTATACTTTTATGAATGACACGATTAGTCGATTAATCGTCAACAAAACTGGCGATTAGTCGACTATTAAAATAGTTGTTTGAGGCAGCCCTAGTGGAATGTATGAAAGGCTTGACCAAGTGATATGACTCAACTGGAGAACAAACGCCAGCAACAGTATGAAAAAAAGACAATTTTTTAACCATTGGTTGCATAAATGTCAACCTTAAACATAATGTATGTAATGAGTAACAATGTAACATAATGAGAAAAAAATAATAAAAATAAATGAAAATACTCTGAAAATATTTTAAGTAAATAAATAAATATAAGTAATAAAAAATAAACAAAATATATCTTTTCAAAGTACTAAATACTAATTCAAGGTCATTTCAGTTATGTTTTACTGTCAGCAAACGGTAGGAACTGCAGAGGGCAGGGACAATATTGTCCATTTACCAACTGCTACAAGTTGAGTGTCCCAAGATTCAATTTCACACACTGCAAATCCTCATGCTGTGTTTTGTGATGCTGCTTCAAATGTACGATGAGGTTGGACATATAAAACATTCCTGGTGCTGTTCCACCACGGGAAGCTTGTGCATGGCAAGTGTTGTACTGAGCCACACTGTCTTTTATGGACTAACAAAAATTACTACCACACGGCTGACATTGCTCCCTGCTACTTTGCCTCGCACACACTGTTCTGATCACGTAGGAATTGCATGCTGGATCTGGGAGCTGCTGGATAGAATTGCTGGAATGAAATTTAAAGCGGAATATACTGCTTATATCTGAGATTTTTCATGCAGTACGATATAATCCAATACAGTGTTTTTCAGCCGATATCGAACTACTTCCAATATTTATGTCGGAACTGGGCATTCCTATTTTCATCCCAGCTGCTTCACACTCGGCTGCAAATTGCTCCAGCAAAAGCTGGACATCACGGCCCGATGAAGCCTTAAATCTGGTTTATTATTCATTTGGGTAGGAATGAGCCATATGGCCCAAAATCTATATCACATCATTTTCTTTTCTTCTATTTATTTTTGTCAATATGATTTTTAAAAGAAATTAATGTCAGCAGAACATATACTTCTAAAAATTATGGAAGAAAATTTAAAACTCAAAACTTATTTAAAAACATAAATTGGTCAAGTAGATTTTATGTTGTGTTATGGTTCATTCTCCAAACAACAAAACACAAAAATCCTCATAAAAGGAATAAAAATGGAGATATTTAAAGAAAACCGAAGTTACCATAAATAAAATGTCAGTAATCAGAGCACTTGACCACGGAGAAAACATAACAGAAGAAGGGGAACGCAGACAAGATAAGAGTTGGTCTCTCTCTGAGAATAATTATGAATTTAACAACGATTACTGCCTGATGACATTTTCCCACATCTGCAAAGCTCACTGGAAGGACACAAACCGAGGACGATATTTTCCTGATATAGGGTTTATTACTCAAGTAAGGGTAAAAAAGTATCTGATTAGAAGGCTACTTGAGTACTGAGTATCATCTGATCTAATATTTTTAAAACGATGACATCAAACAGACATAAAATGAGAAGTTATGGGCAAATATTGGTATTTTAAAGACTAAAGGGGAAAATGTAAACAAATAAACAACATAATTACAAAATAACACATTTTAGGCAAAATTTAGACACAAACTGAGGACAATATTTTCCTGACATACAGGGTTTATTTAGTTGTCTGAAAATGTATCATGTTTAAAAAAATACCGCGATAATACCGAAAACCGTGGTAATTTTGGTCACAATAACCGTGAGGTTACATTTTCACACCGTGACAGCCCTAGTTCTGGTCAACACCTTTCAGAGCTGATCACACCAGCTGTCTGTCGCTCCTACTCTGAAGCCGGCAGAGACTCTTCTCTCACACTGCACAAGCGCACAGCGGCAAAAATATAAACCAACACATCTGCAGAACTTTCACTCCGTGATGTTAATTCAGCATCCTGCAGCAAAAATACGGCAAGAAGGAAGCTCATTTTAACGTGTCAACACGTTGGATTTACCACGAGTTTTGAAGAACAAACTCGGTGGTGTGAGGTGAGTTTGTCTTACTACAGAAATAAAAACACACACGGAGCATCAACAGCCAAATGCAGCCACTCACCCACACTCGTGTCTGTGTGAGCATGACCGTCAGGAGGCTGAGCAAATAACCTGTAAAATAATTTAAGTCATCATGTTAGATCAGCCTTTCTCTGTGGTGGCCCACACTGGATTCTGGCCACTGTTTACGTTTATTTATTTGGCAGACGCTTTTATCCAAATCGGCATGCAATTGTTAACCTATAGGGCATGTTGTGATCTGTGGGGAAACCGAAGTACCCGGAGAGAACATGCAACTCCATGCTATTTTGAAGAAAACAGAATAGAAAACATATTTTCAGCTATTTTTCACCTTTTTTGATTAAGTACATACCTCCACATTAGGGCCTGGCCGATATTATTGGCCGACATAGGGGTCATTTAGCCTGGCAAGCCAGACTAATTAAATGTATTATTTAGTCTGGCCACGCTCCATAGACGGCTCTGGGTTGTGGGGCGGGTTCTACCGTTGTAGGGCTGCTCAATTAATAGAATTTTTATCACGATTACGATCTGGGCTTTCAACAATCATTAAAAATGACTTGAGCCGATTATTAGGCTATATTAGCACCTCCCTCGTGCTTTGCTCTCGCGTAGCAAATCGAGCGCACCTCTCTGCGTTTCGAACACGTGACGCGTCACATCAAGAGTTAGTTAAAGCTAGTAAAGCGTGACCTCAGAGGAAAGCTAAGTAGACTTTATTTGGAAAGGAGAGGATAATGGCTGCTAAAGAAAGAATTCCGTTGGTTGAAAAGCGAGGTAAAACTACTTCAGTGGTGTGGAAATATTACGGGTTCGCAGAGTCAGACGTGAATCAAGTCGATATAGTGTGTAAACTTTGCTACGGTGTTGTAGCTGCACCACAGGGCAACACTACCAATTTATTTAATCATTTGAGGACCGCTCACAAAGTAACATACGATGAAACAATGAAGGAGCATAGGGAAAAACCCTCAACAACACCGGCTTCATCCTCACAGACCTCCATTCACGCTACCCTGTACAACGCGACTAAATATCCCACCAGCTCCCAGAGGCACAAGGAGATAACAAACGCGGTAACTTTTTTCCTCGCCAAAGACCAATGCTCAGTCAACACAGTGAACAACCCCGGCTTTAAGAAGCTAATCAACACTTTGGACAAACGGTATAACTTGCCATCTCGTCACTATTTTAGTCGAGTGGCGATTCCCGCTTTATATGATGAGTGTCATGATGGTGTCACAAAGGAAGTGGCTACAGCCCAATATTTTTCCACCACAACGGACTTGTGGTCAAGCCGCACCATGGAGCCGTATTTGAGCCTCACGGTACATTTCATTGACATGGATTTCAACATGAAAACGAAATGTCTTCAGACATCATTTTTCCCAGAAGACCACACAGGGCAGAACATGGCTGCAGGTCTGAAACAAGCACTGGCTACGTGGGATCTGGAGGAGAGTAAACTCGTCTGTATAACCACAGACAACGCTGCAAACGTCATACTGGCTGCAGAACTGAATGGCTGGATGAGGCTCCAGTGCTTTGGGCACAGATTACATTTGGCCATAGGTGAGTAGGCCTAATTCCTACTGAATATGATGCATAATGTGATTTTCTTTTAATAAGTATACAACATAATGCTTCGAATGAATATAATATATAAAAAAACTATTTAAATTCAGAGATACTTTTATTCCTTCTCAAAGTGATACACATTTTCTATGAATTATACAAACACATAAATAAGCTACCATCACTTTTTCCTATTCATTCATACTCAAGGAAATGACAATCATCCTCTTGATAATGCTTGTTTATATTTTTTATGTTTTTACAGAAAGAGCCATGAAAGATCACAGGATTGAGCGTGCAGTGGGGGTCTGCAAAAAAGTGGTCAGCACCTTTTCATTCAGTTGGAAAAAAAAGAGAGAGCTGAAAAAGGCACAGATAGACCTCAAACTGCCAGACCACTCCTTAAAGACCGAGTGTCCAACCAGATGGGGATCTAGGCAGGCCATGGTTTCCAGAGTCCTTGAGCAGCAGAAGGCCATTGCCCATGTCCTCTCCCAAGACAAAGGAACTAGGCACCTCATCCCCTCATGGCAGGACATCGATGTCCTTGAGGCCATCAACAAGACCCTGGGACCTCTGGTTGAATTCACTGATGCACTTTCTGGAGAGAAATATGTGAGTGTGTCTTTAATAAAACCAACACTCCACCTATTTAACAACTCAATCCTGGCTGAGCAAGATGATGACACAGACCTCTCAAAATGCATCAAGAGGAGAATACTGGAGTACCTAAATGAAAAGTATGGTGACTCACCAACACAAGAGTTGCTTGACATGGCCACTGTCCTGGACCCAAGGTTCAAACTGAGATATGCAAGCGAGGTCAGCCAAGAAACCATCAAAGCCAGACTGACAATGGAAATGAAGTTCATCATGGTATCTATCTATCTTGTCTGTCTGTCTATCTTTCTGTCTATCTATCTATCATTATTTATAGTAATTATTTAAGGATTGTACTTTAGAATGCCAAACCCGAGACAGATAAAACTGGTTCCTCATTCTGTTTTGCTGTCATTTTATGTTTGTCCCATTAAAGGAGGCTGCAGTGATGGGGGCACCCATTGGTAACACGGAGGTTGCTGATGATGGTGCATCGAACCAAACGAAGAGGAAAAGGGGCCTAAGCAGCTTCTTTAAGGCCCCTCACAGCCCAGCAGCTCCAGGTGCAGAACATACTCTTCAACTGGACCAGGCCATAGCTTGTGAGCTTCAGGGGTACCTCCAGGCTGGGACCCTGGACACAGAGGAAGACCCACTGGGGTGGTGGAAGCTATCACAGAACCTCTTCCCACGACTCTCCATCCTGGCAAAGAAATATCTTTGCATCCCAGCCACAAGTGCCTCATCAGAAAGGGTCTTCAGCACTGGTGGAAATGTTGTCAACTGCCTGCGTGCATCCCTAAAGCCTGACCATGTTAATAGGCTGGTGTTTTTGGCTAAAAACCTTTGAAAGGTTGCAGGAACCATGTTTTGTTGAGTCCTTTTAAGATTGTATGGGACTCTGGCCACTTCGTCTTCGTCGTCTTCGTCTTCCTCCGCTTATCCGGGTCCGGGTCGCGGGGGCAGCATCCCAATTAGGGAGCTCCAGGCCGTCCTCTCCCCGGCCTTGTCCACCAGCTCCTCCGGCAGGACCCCAAGGCGTTCCCGGACCAGATTGGAGATGTAACCTCTCCAACGTGTCCTGGGTCGACCCGGGGGCCTTCTGCCGGCAGGACATGCCCGAAACACCTCCCCGGGGAGGCGTCCAGGAGGCATCCTGACCAGATGCCCAAACCACCTCAACTGGCTCCTTTCGATCCGGAGGAGCAGCGGTTCTACTCCGAGTCCCTCCCGAATGTCCGAGCTCCTCACCCTATCTCTAAGGCTGAGCCCGGCCACCCTACGGAGGAAACTCATTTCGGCTGCTTGTATCCGCGATCTCGTTCTTTCGGTCATTACCCAAAGCTCATGACCATAGGTGAGGATTGGGACGTAGATCGACCGGTAAATCGAGAGCCTGGCTTTCTGGCTCAGCTCCCTCTTCCCCACGACAGATCGGCTCAGCGTCCGCATCACTGCAGACGCCGAACCAATCCGCCTGTCGATCTCCCGATCCCTCCTACCCTCACTCGTGAACAAGACCCCGAGATACTTAAACTCCTCCACTTGAGGTAGGACCTCTCCCCCGACCCGGAGGTGGCAAGCCACCCTTTTCCGGTCGAGAACCATGGTCTCAGATTTGGAGGTGCTGATCCTCATCCCAGCCGCTTCACATTCGGCCGCGAACCTGCCCAGCAAGAGCTGAAGGTCAGAGCTGGATGAAGCTAGGAGGACCACATCATCCGCAAAAAGCAGAGACGAGATTCTCCTGCCACCAAACTCGACACACTCCACACCACGGCTGCGTCTAGAAATTCTGTCCATAAAAGTGATGAACAGAACCGGTGACAAAGGGCAGCCCTGGCGGAGTCCAACCCTCACTGGGAACAGGTCCGACTTACTACCGGCTATGCGGACCAAACTCACGCTCCTCTGGTAAAGGGACTGAATGGCCCTTAACAGAAAGCCACCCACCCCATACTCCTGGAGCGTCCCCCACAGGGTGCCCCTGGGGACACGGTCATAAGCCTTCTCCAAATCCACAAAGCACATGTGGATTGGTTGGGCAAACTCCCATGCCCCCTCCATCACCCTTGCAAGGGTATAGAGCTGGTCCACAGTTCCACGGCCAGGACGAAAACCACATTGCTCCTCCTCTATCTGAGATTCAACTATCGATCGGACCCTCCTCTCCAGTACCTTGGCGTAGACCTTTCCAGGGAGGCTGAGGAGTGTGATCCCCCTATAGTTGGAACACACCCTCAGGTCACCCTTCTTAAAGATGGGGACCACCACCCCGGTCTGCCACTCCCTAGGAACTGCCCCCGATGACCACGCAATGTTGTAGAGACGTGTCAACCATGACAGCCCTACAACATCCATAGCCTTGAGATACCCAGGACGAACCTCATCCGCCCCCGGGGCTCCGCCGCTGTGTAGTTGTTTGACTACCTCAGCAACTTCTGCCCCCGAGATCGGACAGTCCATCCCCAGGCCTCCCAGCTCTGGTTCCTCCTCGGAATGCGCATTGGTGGGATTGAGGAGCTCCTCAAAGTATTCCTTCCACCGTCCGACTATAGCCTCAGTTGACGTCAGCAGCTCCCCATCCCCACTGTAAACAGTGTGAGCGAGTTGCTGCCTTCCTCTCCTGAGGCGCCGGACAGTTTGCCAGAACCTCTTTGGAGCCGATCGATAGTCTTTCTCCATGGCCTCACCAAACTCCTCCCACGCCCGAGATTTTGCCTCGGCAACTGCCACTGCTGCACCCCGCTTGGCTATCCGGTACATGTCTGCTGCCTCCGGAGACCCACAGACCAGCCACGCCCTGTAGGCCTCCTTCTTCAGCCTGACGGCTCCCCGAACCTCTGGTGTCCACCAGCGGGTACGGGGGTTGCCACCACGACTGGCACCGGCCACCTTACGACCACAGCTAGCAACAGCCGCCTCGACAATCGCAGAGTGGAACAAGGCCCACTCGGACTCAATGTCCCCCACTGCTCTCGGGACGTGGTCAAAGCTCTGCCGGAGGTGGGAGTTGAAGACCGTCTTGACAGGTTCTTCTGCCAGGCGTTCCCAGCAGACCCTCACTATGCGTTTGGGTCTGCCAGGTCTACGCGGCATGTTCCCTTGCCATCTGATCCAACTCACCACCAGGTGGTGATCAGTTGACAGCTCCGCCCCTCTCTTCACTCGGGTGTCCAAAACATACGGCCGCAGGTCAGATGATACGACTACAAAATCTATCATCGACCTGTGACCTAGGCTGTCCTGGTACCAAGTGTACCGGTGGGCATCCTTATGTTCGAACATGGTGTTCGTTATGGCCAAACTGCGGCTTGCACAGAAGTCCAATAACAAAACACCGCTCGAGTTCAGATTAGGTGGGCCGTTCCTCCCAATCACACCCCTCCAGGTCAAGCTGTCATTGCCCACGTGAGCATTGAAGTCCCCCAGCAGGACAATGGAGTCCCCTGATGGAGCACTATCTAGCACTCGTCCCAGGGACTCCAAAAAGGGTGGGTACTCTGAACTGATATTTGGCCCATAAGCACAAACAACAGTCAGGACCCGTTCCCCGACCCGAAGGCGCAAGGAAGCTACCCTCTTGTCCCCCGGGGTAAACCCCAACACACAGGCAGAGAGTCTCGGGGCTAACAAAAAGCCAACCCCAGCCCTCCGCCTCTCACCCGGAGCAACTCCAGCAAAGTAGAGTGTCCAACCCCTCTCCAGGTCTCGGGTTCCAGAGCCAATGCAATGTGTCGAGGTGAGTCCGACTATATCTAGCCGGTACCGCTCAACCTCTGCCACAAGCTCCGGCTCCTTCCCCGCCAGCGAGGTGACGTTCCATGTCCCAAAAACTAGTTTTCTTGTCCGGGGATTGGACCGCCAAGGCTCCCGCCTTGGTCTGCCACCCGATTCGCATTGCACCGGACCCTTCATGTTCCTCCTGCGGGTGGTGGGTCCACAGTTGGACGAGCCCATGTATCCGGTTCGGGCTGGGCCCGGCCGGGCCCCATGGGCGAAAGCCCGGCCACCAGGCGCTCGCTCACGGGCCCCAACCCCAGGCCTGGCTCCAGGGTGGGACCCCGGTAACCCTCCGGGCCGGGTACTCCGACTCTTCGTTTTATCCGCCATGAAAGATCCTTCGAACCGTTCTTTGTCTCACCCTTCACCTCAGACCAATTTGTCATGGGAGACCCTACCAGGGGCACTAAGTGCCCCAGACAACATAGCTCCTAGGATCATTAGGGCACTCAAACTCCTCCACCACGATAAGGTGACGGTTCAAGGAGGAGGACTCTGGCCACCTAGTTTTTATTTATTTCTTATAAAAGGTACTACTTTCAGTGTTTTATTTTATTTTTGTTCAGGCAGCAACTTTAGTTGACATACCTCAATGTCAGTTTGATGCAATTGTGCATTGTGTGGCTACACAGCTTGCCTTGATGTTTGGTTATTTGTATGCATATATATTATGCAGTAGTTTGAAGTTCACTGAACATTAATGTTTACATTTTTTTATTTATTCCTTATATTGCAAAGCAAACATTTGCACAGTGGTCAGTATTTGCACACCATTTTATATTTTTTGACAATCTTTAAAGCAATTATTCAATACATTGTTATTGTTAAATAAATATCGTGAAATAATCGTGATCTCAATTTCATTGGAAATAATCGTGATTTTCATTTTTGCCATAATCGAGCAGCCCTATACCGTTGTCTTTCAAAGGATCTCCGCATTCCACTGGACAATGAATGTGACATACTCTTGTTTCACTCTGTTGCATCATCCCACCCACCAGGCATATAGAGTGCCCTGATTGGCCCACAAAGCGGATAAAGCTCTGTGATTTGTTCACTAAGCAGATAGAGCACTATGATTGGCCCACCATTATGGACCAATCACAGCTCTTTATGTGTTTGAAACCCCTCTAGAGAGCTGTGATTGGCTAGCCAGAGTCCTGGTAGGAGCTGCTGCGGTTCCAATGGAGCATGCCTAGACCAAACTTTGCAAAGCAAGAATTTGGTCTAGTTCACTGGGCTAGGGGTCATTAACACTATCGGCTATCAGCCAAAAAGACGGCCGATATGGCAGATATTGCGCTACCTATCCAGCAGATGGCGCCAGCTTTATGAACTCATGTTGTGTGGCTCCACTCCTCGGGGGGGTGGAGCCACCATCACAGCACACATGCAGCGGAGCAGCAGGAGCAATTCAGTCAAGCAGAGACGACGGTGATGAGGAAGTAAGAGGTAAGTCTTCAGTTCTAAGCATATTTGTTGCGTCAGTGGTAAGTTGAACGGTAAAATAAGCAATGACAAAAGTATGTTTCCCCTCAACATGCTTCCTAAGTTCATTGTGTGCCTCGTGGCCTCGTATTGAAAAGTTAACCTGAAAAAAATAAAAAACTGCCGCAGCATTACGCTCTATGCAGAGCTTGCACTGCTTCCACTTTAGTCATGCAGGGCAGTAAGTAAGTAACAATGGCCTTTTTCTGGTAGACATTCTGGATTATTCTGAGACTATTTCATCCGTTCTTCTTCAGCAGTCTTTTCAAACTCACGCGGTTCACCCGCGGCTCGCGAAAAAAATAGAGCAGATGCCTAAACTACCGCTGCATGGCGCGGGCTGGAGCGCCGGCGCGCAGCGCTTCGGCGGCCCATGTGGCCTACAGAATAGGATAACAAGGGCGCCGAATGAAGGCGGTCCCCGTTTTGCAGCGCTTCGGCGGCCGGTGTGTCCCTTACACGACCGTTGTTACAGCTGAGGACAGGGGAGGAGGAGTTGGCAACAAAGCAATGAAGCACTGTGCAGGGAGTCCCTCCTGAGTAGGGGCGGTAATACGACGAGAAAATAAACATTCCTCT